TGCATTGCCTATGCAACTGGTCTATAGCATTGCTTAGGGGACTCATAAATTTTTTTTAAAGCATCATTTTTTTCTGATGGGTGAAAATACAAGCACCTGTATAATTTTACAAAATATGATTTTATTGTCAGAAAAGTGCCACTGATGCATATGGTAATTGAAATCCAAGCAGTGGCAGCAGTACCACTGCAGAGCCACTAAGTTAAGGCATTAAAATAAAGGATGAGGGAAAATTTGCCATGACCTTGTAAGGGAATGCTTTTCATCATGGGCAAGATTGCTCAGCAGCCATGGGGACAGGGTGGCCTCCCACCAGCTTCCTGCTTCCCAGAAGGGGTTGAATGGTGTCCCATCTCCAGCTGTGACAGGAGCTTCCAGTGGCAGTATGTCCACCAGGACATGCTCACAGGAATTCAGAGGAGCAGAACAGCAGCTCTGGTGGTGTCTCCTCTCCAGCCAGATGTTCCTCTTCATGATGGCAGCAGGCTGCTCCTGCAAGGTCCTAACCTTTTGAGTGTGCTGGTTTTAGCTAAGCCATTCTTTGCTACTATGGGCATTTTTCTATGGGCTCTGGAGAGAAATGGAGCCCTTTGCCTGCCAACTTTTGATGACCAAATAGTTCTCCTGTTTCCTGTACTTCAGCAAAACCTTGAAGAGTTTACCAGTCTCCCCTCTTCTCAACTCCTTCCCCTCTCACTTCCCTCTTCACAGAGATACTGGGATGGAGACAGAACTGTCAGTGATGGAACCTGAGATGTGCCTCAGAGACGGCAATGCCCACCACAGCATGGTCTTCTCCATCAGGAGTGTGAGAGTGTGCAGATATTCTAAGTCAAAATTCCTTTTCATCCCTTGACAGGAGATGTAGAGTCCATTCTTTGACCTTTGCCAAGCTGCCTCTGAGGCCTTAACTTCTGTCTGCCACTGCAGGAACCTCACAGCCTTGGTTGGCCTCTTTTTGGAGCAATGGCCTAAAATCTTCTTATCCTTCTTATATTCAAGATTTCCTCTCTTTCCTATCTCCCCCACAGCTAGGAGGTCTTTAGCACAGCCCAGCGAGACGTATGAGAAAGAAACCTGGCAAAAGGTTTAAATTAGCTCTAGTGGTTGTGCCAACTCCTGTAGAACGAGAGTGCCAAGATCCAAACATGGCTGTTCACCAGCATTTGGCAAGGCGGTGACATCTTGTCACTGCTATCCTGGAGCACTGAGGCCCACACAGGTACAACGACCAGCTGGCTGGGGCACGATGCAAAGCAGGGTGGGAAAGAAGAGGGAAGAGTGCCAGACTTTTCCCAAAAGAAGTCACAGCCCTGTTTCTTCAAAATCATCTACACAAATGTGACATTACTCCTGATTGCCAACAGAATCAAGCCTCCACAGCTACTTACCAGTTATACTCATGTGTCACATGGGTTCAGGCTTCCCTATCTGGGTAGCCCAGTCTGTGCAAGTAATGAAGAGTGTACATAAACCCTCAGCAAAGGACAGAACAACTCACTTTCAGTGAAGCTTGCTCCTGCCACAGAAAGCTGCAAGAGTGCTCTGGAGCTAAGTGCTGACTGTTGGGAAGGTGCCTAGAGCTGGAGGGAAAAAACCCCCAGCATGAAACAGGAAGTCTGTTTTTACATTTAATTCCTCCTGGGTCTAGAGCAGTAGAGTTTTATAATTTCATTATAAATAAGCTATAAAGCATCTACATAGTGGAATCCATATTCCCAGGTGGGAACAACCTACAGTGAACCTACAGGTCCACTCTAGTCAGCCTTCTTCCTTGAATGTGATTACCATGCTAGGTAGGTCTGTGAACAGTTCACGGGCCCTTTTGTCACACTCCACGTTATTCATAGCCCAGTGCCACTCTGCTGTCTTCTCTCACACACATGGATGGCCAGGCCTTTGATTTCAGAGACTGCTGCAGGGCATCAGTTCTCCATCCAGATCATGCACATGCATTGTAATCATGCTCCTTTACCCGTCTGAAAATTTTTGCCATTGTAAAAGTCTTCTGAGCCCTTCCAGTGCCTCCCTTTCTTTAGGAAATGCAGGGGTCCTGTGCTACTCTGTAGTTGTTGGACACATGGCACCTGTCTGCAGCTTTTACACATGTGAGAATTCACCGCAGCTTTCTACATCAGCTGGAGTTTGGTGCCGTGGCACAGCTTTATCCTGAGGTGGGTGTAAAGTTTGGCATCGGGCTTGGTGATGGCAAAATTATATTGCCCATCACGCCAGCATGGTATTTGCATATAAAAAGTACATTTGAATAAAGAGGTTCAAGAGACATTTTATTAGAGCAGCCACAGAAAAGAAAGAAGTCGTGTTCCTCTTCAGATACAGTCCAAGGCTTCTATATAGCTGCCATCAAATTGGTATTTCTTTTTCCTCTGTCCATTACTATCCAGCAAAAATACAACTGCAGGTATGTTTCCAAGGGGGAACATTCATCTTCTGCCATTTCCAGACTCCAGGGAAAATTAAGTTTCTGAGATTAGTTATATAAGAAAAAGGAAACTTGAATTTTATGTGCAAGTGAAAACTTAAACCAAGAAAACTATTATTTGTATTTTATTTGCTCTATAAAAAGTCTAGGAATACAAAGAACTTTTAACTGAATATAAAACTTGACATTTTCTTTCCAGGTGTCCATAGAAATACTAGTTTAGTTGAAAATAAATATAAAACCTGCAAAATACCTTAATTTGGTCTTGCCAAGAAGCCCTCTCGTTATGAAAAGGATGGGGGAAAGGGTGAACTCGTTTCTCTTTATTTCAAGCTTGCTGCTTTAATTCCATGTTGCATATGAAACAACAAACAAAATTCTAAGGAATGTAAAAAGTTCCTGTGCCTACAAAAGCCTTAATAATACCACCCTGAGCTGAAGAACAATGGCACTGACATGAAAGGATTTTCATTTCTAAGAAATACCTGCCTAAATCAGAGTTCAGGAATACATGTATTCCATGCTCCTCTGCAGGGCTGATTTAGCACAGACCTACTAAACTGAAATGTGCTTCCTCCCTGGAAGACTGAGCTGCAGCAGCTCAGGGCACCCCAGGTGAGACAGTGGGCTGGAGACAGGGTGGTACCTCAGGTCTAGGTGAAAGAGGAGGATCTGCATTAAACAGAGTATTCCAGGTACAATGCTACATTTCATACACTGTTCCTGGCTCACAAGGATGGACTGCAGTCTCCACTAACTACAATCGGTACAAAGTTTTGAGAAAATTCTCCATTTAAAAAATGGCAAACCCCATGTTTAATACCCACAGAGCATTAAGGTACAAACAAAACTGCTGCTTCCCAGGTTCTTTATCACTACATCTTTCTGAGACTCGTCTCCTAAAGGTTCATTTTTCCAAATGGCATAATTTTGGCAAAGAATGAGGTCAGTGAACTCCTGGATTATGTACTGCCTATCTCTCCTGCAGCATTACAGGGATATAGATGCTCAGCACCTCAGAAATTCAGGCTTGCTATACAGCTAAAACAAATGTGCAGAGCATGAATATTACAATTACCAGAGAATTAAAAAAATCTGTCTGCATTCAAAGTAAAAATAAAACTGGGAAATTTCAAAATTTCCTGAGGTGCTCTTTTTGATCGACTAGAACTTTGGCTTCATTTCAATTTAGGCATTTCTTTTATAGAACAATGCAAAATACAAATGGCATTGTGAATAATATAAAAGCTTTTTTTCCCAGATGGGAATGCCAGAGCAGATCCATTGTTTTTTTTTCTCAAGCATATTCTTTAGCAAGTATGATTTTTTGAAGAAGTTAACCATCAGTGGAGCTGTATTCTCCAATGGAAAGGGGAACTGTTTGATTTTGATTTTTTCCTAGTAGAAATTACAGTCCTAGAATTTTCAGATTTTGAAGTTCTCCAGTTCTACTTGAAATTTCCCGTTCTTTTTTACAAAAAAAATCAATAATGCCCTTTATCATAATTCATAGTGGAATTGTCTATTCATGGTAAACTTGGGTCCACTCTAGGCTGAATGGTTGTTGTATATCTTTTCATGGATTTGTGTACTTATGCAGGTTTTGAAATAAAATACATATTGGTGCTGATGGATGAGAAAGCACAAATGAAGTGACACTCTATAAAATCATCAGCTCTGGGGAGATGTCTAAAAGGCAAAGTTTGCTCGTGTGTCAGAGTAAAAGAAATGATGGTGTGAAGAAGTGATCAGATGGAAGGTTTAAAATCAGAAGGGAAAAAAAGTTTTCCCACAGAAAGAATAATTAAACTGAACTCATTGTGAACAGACACAGTGGAACGCAAGAGGGTAACTGAACTATACACAGCTGGGATTCCAGACATACATTCAGCTTGAAAAAGCTGCTTCAGAAGTCAGGAAATTCAAAGGTGTCTCACAACAGAATTTTTTAGGCATCTTCCTCAAAAAGATACTGAGCTAGATACTTCTTCTTAATATGCATTTCTGTTAATAATCTCTTCAATCTAAACTATAAAACGTGCTGTGCAACATGACTGAACAAACATCACTGTGAGAAGTATTTCCCCCTTGTTTGAGTAATTTGAATTTGTAAGCTAATGTAAGTTTTTGTATTAAATAATGTACTGTGTGCAATTTTCTTTCGTGTAAAGCACTTTGAAGCTTTCAAAGGGCGCTCTAGGTTCATAAATAATGTGGTGTTCTTTGCCAGAACTGTAGGGCATTTCTCCTAAGTTCTGAATCTTCTTTGCCAGAATTGCAACATGTTACATGCCAAATCCTGCACACAAATGTTCTGCATGTGGCAAATACATGTTGGTAAAGACCAGAGGCATGGCATTCCTGGATTTCTTAGAGAGAGTGGGGAGGGGAAAGAAGTGGGAAGGAATAATGAGTGAGGGCAGAGAAAACTCTGTGCATCATTTAAAAAAATTATAAACAACAAAAAAACAACCTCTACTCCCAAAATATCCCGTAACTTGTGCATAATTATTTTCAAAAGTCAAACTGTTTGCTGCATACAGCACAAACTCACAGGTACCCAGAGCTGGGTCTTTACTTCTCCTTCAGTTATGGAAATCAGGCCCCCATTGCTTTAATAGCTGAAGATTCTTCAATGCCAGGCGTTTGTAAGTGTCAGAACACCTGCAATCCCTGCTCCTCTGAGCACTCGCTAACATAAATGGAGAGGCTGAGAGCCAGGAGAAGCAGCACAGTCAGGATCACCACTATTTAATAAGTTGTGAAAATGAATCCTTGTCTTCAGGCAAAATTGGCATTTTTTATGCCCAAAGCTACAGGGAATAAACGAAGGCCAATGTTCATAAAGAGTGAACTCTGGCTTCTTTGCAATCTCTGCCACAGACAACCTACTTCTGGAGCTTGGAAGAGAAGGAGTGTAAAGCAGCAAGATCCAGAAATTCTAACAGGCATTTGGCCACATAGGTTAGACTGCTGAAGGTTACCAGAATTTTAATGTGTCTTTGGTTACCATTTTCCTGATTAAGCACAAACAAGTAATGTTGACATTCCTCTATAGTTTGGACTGATTTGCTGAAGTGATTCAAAAATTTTACCATTCCCTGCCCTTCACTTTCATTTAAGAAAATGGTGACAAAAATTATTAATCACCCAGCAACAACCAGCTAGTCAAAAAGTTACTAAAAGCTACTTAGAACTAATCAGGCCTTAAGCACTGGAATTTGATAAACATTTACAAAATAAACCGATGTTAAAACTGAACTCCACATTCCGCAACACTAAATGGATGTTTTACTATCTGGTTTCTTTTGAGGTGGCAAGAAACTACAGTAAAACCTTTGCTGTTGCCAGAATTACACTGCTTAGAGAAAAATATCCTGTGGGTTACCATTTGCTGCCATGATTTACAGAGATATGGTCTGTAGTCTGTATCAGTTTCATGTGGAAGTTTTAAAGGTAAAAAGCTTTCTGCAGAGTTTGCAGATTTCTGCATCAGTGTCTGTGTTGTTGCAAAGAGGATCAGGTGGTGCTGTGTCACAAGCTTTTCAAGGAAGTTAGCACATTTCTTCAGGTTCATCTCCTGCAAGGTGAGACTCTCCCCTCCATTGCTTCTGTCTATCCAATAAAAAGCTGATAAACTGTCTAAAAGTAAAACACAGAGCGAGGGGTGAGCACAGAACAGGTTTTCTAAAGAGTAGAGAGTGAGGAGTAACTGAGTGCTACTACTGCAGCTCACAAGGAAAAGCCTTCCCAGGCACCCCTTTATCATTTCTTCAGTCCCTTGCACCAGTCTGTTCTCAAGAATGGTGACCAGCCGGAGGATATCGAAATGGTAATCTGTGTCAACAAACATGACTTCTACTTCCAGTCCTCCTTCTGCTTTGGGAATGATGCAGCGGGCGATAAGGTGATAAAGCATTTCTGTTTTTCCCGTCCCTTCTGGGCCATGGAATTCAATAACATCTCCTGTTCAAAAATAAAGCAGCATGTTGTCAGGTAAGAGCACTTAGAGCCCAGAGTTGGTTTTCAGTGTTTTCTGAACCAATACTCACTATTCCACAAATTGGGAAACACATTTTATTTGACATTCATAAAACTGTTTAAATTCTGGTTAGCATATACCAAAAGATATTTCAGTTTTAAAGAAAGACCTCTAAAATGAAGTTAATCAACTGTGAACAAAGGTTGAAAAACTCTGCCAGCATCATCTAGGAGACTTCCATCAATGAAAGGTTGGCAACTGGATTTCATCTGTATCATTATAGGCAGATGAAGGCAGAAGAGGAAGCTGCTACACGAAAATGGCTAAGAAACCATCTATACTATGCACACACAATTAAGAAATAATAGAGGACAAAACAAAACAAAAAATCTGACATATTAGAGGTCATTTGACATATATGTCACATGATGCATGCCACAAGACTCCTGCAGGAATCTGTGACTGGTGAAGAGCACACCAGTAAGTTTATTTGGCACTTATATTCTACTGTGCTGGTAATAATGTGAAACTGCTTCTTTTGATGAGGGAGATTCAGGGACTCCTTCAACTCCAGGCAATGCCTCTGTCTGAGCAAAGGATCTCTGTTCATAAAAGGATTCAGCCTAACTACCTCATCCATGTGGGTCATAAAATACATATCATAAAAATTTAAAATGTTAATTAAAAACAGCATTACGCTTTATTAGAAAACCAGTTCTTTTGTTGGATGTGAATGCAAGATACTCTAAAGCCTTATCCAAAGTCTTCTGATGTCTTGTATCAGAGCAAGACTCTAGAAAAAGTTAATTTATTAGCTGCTCTTTATAAATTTCTAATTTTGGAAACTGGATTATTTATGACATTTTGGATTTTATAGGCAGAAGGGTAACTACATGCAGTAAGGAAACTCACACAACTGTAATTGCAGGAAGGTGAGAGATTTCCATGGCCTTGGCAAGTGCAAATGGCCTAACAGCTTTCCATAGGGGGATGTGAGATGAGAGAATTAACTGCAACTTTCCTTAAACATGTTTGTGCCTGCCTGAGTTAACAGGGTTTTTCAAGTCACTGCTCAACTTCCAGAGGATGTGTCCTCATTCTCAAGTGCCTACAATGTCAAGATGCAGTTTGGGATGAGGGTAGGAGGAGGGTAGGGAAGAAACCAAGCCTTCTGCCTTTGCAAGTGTTAAAAGCAATTTACACCTGATGTGACAAGTCTGTCCATTTCAGTGACAGTCAGAAATACCATTTCTATGAGTTTCTGATACTTTTAAATTTATTAAAAAGCTTGATTGCCTCCCAAGCCCTTACTAAGCTGTTCCGAATGGCTCCCACTCTTCTGAGATGAAAGATAACCACGGTTCCTGGGACATAAATTTTTATTTTCTCTTCCTGTCCAGAGGTCGCACTGCCCAACTCTGACACTTGCACTCGGGGGCTCTGCTGTCACACAGCCTGTGCCGGAGACATAACCACACCCTGGCAGGGTGAGATACCAGCTTGAAAGAACTCCTCCTAAAAGTGCTGGCTAGGTCATTCCCTCATATTTTGTCTCTTGAAATATTTTAGAACAATTGCATAAGGCAGCTCTTGATAAGGAACAAAGTGTATCTTTTTTCACTGGCTGTGGCACAGAACTTCTGCCACCCTGATTGCCATTTCTGAATCCAGACCAGTAACTGAGTGGGGCCGACAGGCAAAAGACTGCTTCACCTGCCTTTACAGAAAAATATGACCTGCTGGATTCCAAAATTATTCTGGGAAATAAATGCTTCACTTTTTCCATTTGAAGATATTCTAGCAGGATGTCTGTGTGCTACAGAATGACACTGGATGAGGTTGTTTTTTTTTATTGACAGAACTTATAAAACTTATTTAATTAAAAATTCTAAGTTGAATGACAAAAATCATTCTCAGAGGTTTTTGTGGTGGTGGTTTATAAATGCGAACAACAAGACAGCCCAGCACCCCTCCAAGTTTGTTCAACATTGCTGAAAGAGATAGACAGCTTCCTTGTAGCTTGACCAAGACATTTGAGTTACTCTGAAACAGTAACAGCTTGGACTGCAAGAAAACCTCAAGAGAGCTGGGTCTTTCTGTGCCTTCCTGATTATCCAAGAGGCTGCCCATAAGAAGAACGGGTGCAAAACAGGAGCCATTTATAGCAACATCTATAAATGAAGGGTTTCATTGAATTAGCAACCAGGCTGTTACTGTAAGATAAGAGGGGAAATTCATTTCTCTGGATCAGAGAGGACAAACCATGACACAGCAAAGGAGGAAGTGAGGCCAGCAACATTTTCAAGAAGCCTCTGACATGCTGACACAGTCACAGAAGAAACTGAGTAATCAGTACTAGCATCATCCATTAATGTCAAAACAACTTTGAAAGGAGGATTAGTAAAAAGATACTGTCACAGGATGAGAACAGGCTGAGAAGGAGAGCAGGAACAGCACTTTAACATGGAAGAAAGTTAATGGGAATTTTTTCTATTAGAATTGGTGTTGGCAGACATTAAACATATCAGTAGATGAATGTTCCATTAGCTTGGCAAAACATGTAGAAGGCAAACTAATTGGGTTAATAAAGACTTAAGTTTGTGAAGATTTAACAGGTGGAGATGGATGTGCTGAGTGATTTCATATGAAATTCAGCACTGGTGAATTCAAGAGTTAGGTTTTAAGGAGTCCCCCAACACACTGCCTGGCTCAGTAGTCTGAACTGGCCCATTAAAGAGAACAATAGTACACTCCTATGAATGGCCACGCAGGTTAAACTAAATGATGCTGAAGAAATGTAAATATTTATGTAAGATTAATATATTTTTAACTGAAACACTGTGCTCAGTCCTGGTCATCCGTTTGGTGTCGTGTTAAATGAGAAGAGCCTTATTTTTGTCTGTTATCAATCCACCAGCAAATATCAGTTAAACTATTTTCTGACACTGGCAGATACAAACAGGCTGTTGGAGCACTCAGCAATAACTTTGTGTGTTTCACATTGTAGGCTACCTTGAAGTTCCTGGGCTGGTCATTTACAATACTGTGCAGAAGCTGTCACTAATATTTATACCATTTGTAAGTGAAGTAGAAAGGCCTAATATTTATTCCAAGTTAATGTTGGGTGTCATGCAATTGGTGAACATCAGAGCCTACACTGACACCCACACCTTCATGCCAGTGGCACAGGGGAAATATGACTGGCAGTAGTGGAAGATTATTTAATGCTTATGTCACTTTTGCTCCATTCCAGAAGAGATTAAATGGTATGTAATTAATGTACTTATGTGCTCTTAAATATGCAAGTCCATCATAACTAGAAGCAGTGGTTAGAGTATCACATTAATACCTATATTATATATCCCTATTTTACAGTACCCTGACATGCAAGTTATGAACACTTAACTAAAATGCAACCTTTGGATAGTTTATTGAAACTTCATATATTTGTTTGGTTTAAATTCCATCAGAAAAAAATAATTATTTAGGTCTTTGCATTGCCTTAATCACAGCATTTTAAATGAAGAGCTGTTCAGTATAGACTTCATGGGTAACAGATTACAGAATTCCACAGTGACACACTGAAAGTCAAGTTCATGACAAATGGAGAGGCAGGCCTTCAACAGGGATTTGAGACAGAATAATAAGAACACACATCAAAATAACACATGGGCTCACATGAATACTGTGGTATTAAAAGAAAAAGCAAAAACATAATAAAAAGTGAAATCCATTTATATACATACAAGAGCTGTGCTAATATTTTAGGCAGCTTCATTAATGTCAGCCAAAAAGCATCACCATTACAGGTAATAATTGATACAATTTGTTGGAAGTAGAAGAAAAACACAAGTGCTTCAAAAGCTTAATGACTGTTGGCACAGAGAAACCAGTGATGAACTATAGAAGACTTCCAGCCATTTTAGACCTGAGGTTCTGGAACAGTCTTCAGACAGACATGAACAACATATAAAGCTTAAAGAGCAAAGCAGATAATTTTACATGAAATTATGTAATGGTATGGACTGCAACAAGGACAGTTAGTGATCCCCAAGAAAATGTCTTAAAATCTGTTTGACCAGTACATAACTGAATCTCAATTTGGTTCTCAAATCAATTCAAATCTCAAATATTTGTTTGTTGTGTGTAAAGTTGACTAAGAAATACCAAACATCCAGACTAAAAGATCATTTAATATTTATGTTTCAAAAAAAATACAGTAATATCTCATCTTCTAAAAAAATTAAGAATTGAGAGCCTTGTGAAGCATACACCAATTTCACTCCTGGCCCTTAATTCTTCTTGTGAGTAACACAGCAGTTCAGAAATGAGAGTATTTAAATATTCTTCTCTGCTCTACTTGCACTGGCTCAGCAGTATTTCTCCACCCTTTATCATTGTTATGTCACATTGGAAACTTTCAGGGCAGGAATCATGTATTGCTAAAGCCCACATTTGATCTCTAGTGCTGCAAAACAATACACAAAGGGTCTCAGAGTGACTGTGTTTAAAGACTAAGCATCATCTCTCACACAATTATCCTGATTATTTTAATAGCTTTTTCTGTTCTTTCTTCTGAATCTTCCATATTTGTGGGAAATCAAACTGCAGACAAGTGTGCTGCTTACCACTGAAGCCACATACTTGCCCTATAGAATCCTCTCACTCCTACATAAATTCCACAACACTAGTACCTCACCACTGATCCTTAGAGTTTGCCACTCATATGCCTTTTATATACATATATATATTTTAGTTTTCTGTAATCAGAGTTGTCTCTTCCATTGTGAAATTCATGAAATTTCATATACTCTGGAAAATCAGTCTGCCTTCCTGAATAATGTGTTCATTTCTTTTTAGTTCACTAATTTCTTTCATTAAAATATCTAACCTTGATCTTAAAATTTCTTGTACTGGAGTCATTGAAAGGTTACCCCATTTCTCCCATCTGAAATTCTCGTTCATTCACTGAAGGTCTCTATGAGCCATGTTGATCCTGACATTGTGAACTCATTCAACTAATTAGTACCTAAGTCCATAATGAAATTGTTTATGAAGTTCTATCTAAGTATACTTAGGATTTTTCAGGTCAAGACTGGAGGGCTTGATGACTTGGCTTCATTGAAAAATACTGTTTGCTCATGCCCCTTATCCTAACTTACTCAGACAACTCTATATCACTGAACTCTTTGCTATTTACTGGAACTCATGCTCTTTGCAAATTTCTGTAGTTATGACTTTGTTGTCTAGACCAGTGATTAAAAAAAAACCAAACACAGAGGTTTAATGACAGACTCTAGAACAAATTGCTGGAAAACGACTGACACTGACCAATGTGCTTGGTATTTACTCACCTACACCTGTGTTTTGATATGCATAAAGTAGATTTTAAGACCTATTTAATAATATTTGGAAGGGCGACTTTGCATAATTCCATTTTATCTCGTTTGCATTGAACTACAACAATTAAAATTCTGATCTAGGGCAAAATAATTTACTTGTATGTTTATCTCTGAGAATACTTTTACATGAACATTTTTCCATAGATGGGATAAAGACACATTTTTACCATGAACAGGAGATCCTTCCTCAGCAAACAGATAAGGTTCAAGATTCTTCAGAGAACTTCTACCCTCAAGTCGTGCAAGCAGCTTTTAAAGACAAGACAAAGAGCAATGCTGTTAACTTAAAAGTAATGGACCTCAGGAAACAAATTTAAAGGATTCTAAGAACTGACAGTTTTCCATCACAGTCCTATTGAAAAATTAGCCTGATTTTAAAAATGTTTTCATAAATACATATGGAAATGTATAGTCTGGACTACAGTAATAGAAGGTCCCAGCCTCACAAACAATGAGCACACAGGTGGCTCAGTGGCAATGGGGACTGGAGATATGGGAAGTTTAAAAAGCAAAGGCTGCTCAGACACTTTGGTGAGATGGATTGCCTCCAGTACACAGCAGTGCTGTGTATTTCATTCCAAAGAACAAAGGAAAAGAACATCATTTGTAACAATCATCATCTCCAAAAAAAATACTGGCTGAGAGATAAAACCTTCCCTATCATCAATCCCCTAAGCCAGCCTCTCTGAGCATTTATAAGTAAAACTATGTGCATTTCCCTGAAAAGTTACACAGGACTCCTCTGGGCTACAATCCTATTATATCATAGTTACTTGTTCGAACAGAGTATGGATTAAGAATGTTCAAAAGTAATTAGTCACCAGTGGCTCTGCAAGAACTTTTCTAAAGCAAGCTTGAATTTGTTAAGCAAGTTCTCCAAAGCCCCTCGTAAAATAAGTCCATTGTAAAATTAATTAGTTCAAAGATCATGGACAGTTTCTCAAATTGAGAGGTATTTGCATAGCAAGTAGACAGGTATTCACAAAACCTGTGTTAGTAGTTCTGGCACACTGTGTAAAGCAAGAATGAACATTTTCCCTAGTGCTGAACATGTTCCCTGGGAGCTGTTATTCCCTACATGTACTAGCACACATGGGAAATGATATTATTGGGATGCTCAGTGTCACCAGAGCACCTACCCTGGTGCCAAATACTACATTCTCCAAGACACCCAGTCATCATTTAAAGATCTGGACAAAACAAATCCTGTTCAGTTTTATCACATCCTCAAGAACAAAAGAGCAGTGAGCACACACACCTTCTAATAACTACTGCCTTCTCTTGCTTTCCTCCTTGTCACGTCCATGAGCAACACTTGCTCTGAATGATCTTAAAAGTTCTTTGAACAGTTGTGTTTTCCTTTAACAGTAAAATATAACTCCATTAAATGGTCCTGAATTTACTTCAAGTGGTCACAATGGGAATCTTAAGTGTGACATTTTCATTGTCATTTTAAGAGTCCCTTCCATTAACAAAATATCAATGTGTTTGCCTTGGCCTCTTCATATGTATCCAGGAGAGTTTTCTGACTCGTCCTCTAAAGGGCTAAAAAAACACTCGAATTGACCTTGCTCTGGATCAGCAGATCCTCCCATTACACATCACACATTTGTGCAGCACAGAAAACACATGGTGATCTCCTGGGAATCAGCAGGGTTCCATTATTTGGGCAAAGCAAAAATCCAGATGAATGTATGTACATAAGAATGCAGGAATGGAACTTGGGACACATAAACCAGCAGCTCTCCTTGTCAGACCCTACGTGTGCAGCTCTTCTGTGCCTGGCCCTGGCCACCAGCGAGGAGAAGCTGCACCCACTGGGGAGAAGAACCAGGAATCCCTCACCCCTTTGTCTGCAGTGGAAGTTGAGGCAAAGAGGAAAACCACCACAAGGCTGCTGCTTTCTGATGCTCTTCACTTCTTAGCAGAGGAAGCACCGCTGCGACACACAGGGATAACAGAGGCTTAATGATGGGCACTGCTGGGGCCAGCAGTCACGACTACTGCTGGCATAAACACATTGCTGCATCCTCGTGCTCCTAAATTTGTACATTAACAAATATATCCTCTGCAGTTTATTTTTTCTGGAACAGTGAGCCCCTGTCTCCTCTTAGATTATCAACCCTTTAAGTTTACTGAGAGAGCTCTGGAAACACACAGTAAATTGATCGCTATCATTTAAATATGAATCTGCCGTTATTTAAATGACAAGTTTATATATTAATTTTAAATAACTACAGGTGCTTTCTCTGAGCACTGCTCATGTAGGTAATTTATGGTAATTTGCTGATGATAGCGCACCTGTGTTTTTATCAAGCTTGTATTTACTTCCGAGTTCTGAAGCAGAATCTCCAAAGGCACTTGCCTCATTAGTGCCATGCTGGGAGCAACAGGGTTCCTGGCAGAAACAGCCAACAATTTTCCTTCAACTCTCACAAAGGTTTGTCCACACTGCAGCAGAAGTGATGGAAGCAAACCCGAGATGAGACACTACACAGGCATCCCTCACCTCTGCCCACATTACAGACAGGGACAGCATAGGCTGTTCCAAACAGAGCAAGAGCCACCTTGGCTCGGTTCCAGGGGAGGCATTCTCATTTTGCCTCCCCACATGTTCTTCTAGAAAATGAGAGGGGGAGAAATCTACAGCATGTAAAGGGTAATCTGGAGGGTGGATGTCAGGTGTCCCAAGCTTTGTCACAGAGAGTGCACGGAACACAGCAGTACGGTACCACTGGAGAAACTTGGAGTAGGAAAAAGCTTAGAAAAAAATCCCAAGTCAATTTCAAATCCCATAGTAGAGGCTTCAGATTCTATAATCAAAGTGTAGGTACTCATTTCTTCCTCCATAAGCCTCTCCATCTTTTTTTACACAAAACACCACCCTTTAGCAACCTGCTAGTGATAGCTTCTCACTCCTAGGTGTTCTTTGAAAATGTAATTATGCCAGCAAGAAACTGCACAGATGTGCAGTTCCATGTAGAGAACAAGCTGTACAGCAAAAGTTCAGCAGCAGCTGGGTTAAATGTCATTAATGACAAAGCTGATGGGACTCAAATATTTCAGCTATGCCTTTTATAATTGATCAATATGCATACAGACAGTCCCACTGACTAATGCATGACATGCTTGTACTCTGTTGGTTTCAACAGAGCTGTGCATCAATGGAAGCACACACGTAGGTCTTGTAAGGAATTTTTTCATTAAAATGTTAAAGAAATTCAAATTAAATACTCCAACCCTGGTAGAAGCTGTGAGCTAACCTAGAGGCTATTTACACATACAAACCTATCTTGAATACTACTCAAAATTTAATTCTCAATCACTGTAACTGCTCTGAGCTTTTGTAAACTTTGGGCATGAAGACATATGCAAGCTATTTATTATTACTCTTATTGTGATATACCAAAGATGTTTTGCAAGAAGTTCTAATTTGTTGTATTAATTACATTAAATAATAAAAGCACAATACTGCGGTCTGAGAATAACTCAGTAAAATCTGACTTTATGCATGAGGCTATTTAAAGAAGTATTATTTTAAATTAAGTGTTTTCTGTTTCAAGTGCTTTTACCATTTTTTGTCTGAACACTGTATTCATACATTGACTTTTCTTAACACATTGGTTGTCAACTCCTCCCTTGTTCCAGGCTGGACATCCATTCATTGCAGGGAGTTGATGCCATGTGCATTCCCTGTTGGCACCACTCATGTGGACAAATAAATGCATCTATCCCTTGGACAAAGAGCACAGCTCATGTCCTTAATTCGTGTCTATTTGCCAATAGTGGACATCTGGTACTATTATTTTTTTTACGTGTCAAAAGGGCTTAAAAGCTCAAGTCCCACTAAAAACCACACAGAGATTTAACAATAAATATTATCACACTTTTCTGTTTTATGTGAACTATTCAGCATATTCTGGTACAGTTACACACAAATCTCCAAGCAATTAAGTTGCTGATTGCAAGTGGAAATTTCTAACAAATAAAACATCCAGAAATGAAAAAACAAGACTAATAAAACAACACAACAAAATCCCAAAACTCAAACCTCTTTTCTCTTACAGAGGTGGAAAGCAATTCCACCTTACATAATGTTTATTTATAGAAAGTTGGAAGTGTTTAAGACCAAGTCCGAACCTTTAAATGAAACCTTTCTCCTCTCAAACACCTGGGAGGGGAGCGCGAAGGGAATTTGTATAAAGCAATTATCGAGACACCTGAACCAACCTCCCCCCGTGCTGCAGGACGCCCATAGCAGGAGCCCACCCGCATCCCGACACAAAGGCAGAGCAGGGACCCAGGGGACCCCGATCCCTCCTGGATCCGCGGAAAATCCATCGGGAAAGCTTCCGCGGCCTTTCGAGGGGCGGAACTCCCTCCGTCACGCACCGCCCCCTCAGGAGGCCCCGCAGGGGCTGCCCCGCGCCCGCCCCGTGGGGGTGAGTGGGAACCTCGGCGCCCCTCTTCTTCCCCGGCTGCGGCCTTACCCGGCCCTCCCCGCCCGTGTGCCCGGGCCCGGGGCTGAGGGGAGTGGGGCGGGAGCCGCGCCTCACCTGCGTGCCCGACTCCGCCCCGCCGAACGCGTCACCCATGGCGGCCCCGCGGCCCCGCGGCCGCAGCCACCGCTCCGCAGCGCCCCCGCCCGGCCGCGCCCTCTGCGCCTGCGCGGCTCGGCCCCCCGGGAGCGCGGGGTGGAGCCTGCGGGCTGCGGAGTCACGGGTTCGAGTCCCGCGTCCGGCTCAATTCATGGCCGCCCATCCGCCTGTCTCTCGTACGTGTACGTGGCTTGGGATTCCTTGGACATGGCCGGGAGAATCACAGAGTTAAATAGGTTGGAAAAGACTTCTGGGGTCATCGAGTACAACTTATGACCGAACACCACCATATCAAGCAGACCATGACACTCAGTCCCATGTCCAATGTTTCATTGAACACCTCCAGGGACAGTGACTCCAGCAGCTCCCTGGGCTGCCCATTCCAGTGTCTAATCACTCTTTCAGAGAATAAATTCTTCCTGCTGTCCAACCTAAATCTTTGGAACAGCTTACAACCATGTCCTCTCGTCATATCCCGAGTTATGTGCAAGAAGAACCTGGCCCCCAGCCAGTGACAACAAGCTGTTTATTTCTTTTTAAGGACATGTCTTTCTATAGGTATATGTGGGTTTTTTCTGCTCCTGCTGGAAAGGGGCAGGTGGCTGGGCTAGTGTGACTCAGGGGATGCTCCTTGGTCACACTGGGTTAGCTGTGACTCAAGGGAAGCTCATTCGCGTGGCTGCGATTAAACACTGCAAAATTGCTCTTTGCCAAAGCCAGCTATCAATTATGGCTTAAATTAAAAGGGGTCTAGAATATCTTTAATAAGTCCCTGGAATGAACTGGCCTTGCGTGGTGTGTGTGATGCTCTGAGGCAGGAGCTGATGGTCAATGGCTTGGTCACATCAGCAGCTGTGTGCCTGTGGTCAGCAGCCGGACCTGCTCCACCCGGACCGCAGCCCATCCACTGCAGTTGTGCAGCCTGGGCAGGCAAGAGGGACAGGCACAGGGAGAACACGGGAGAACCTGTTTGTTTCTTCCATAGGCTAAATGCAAAACCAGCAGGATAAGAAGAGCAGCTCCCAGTATCTGCCTATCAAAAAGCAGTAATGATATCATCCCTTCGGGTCTAGCGAGGTCATTGGTGATACTGCACGTCCTGTACTTATAGTTAGGAGGAGCAACTGGTGGTGGAGTTCTCTGTTTCTTCAAAGAAATCATGTTTTTCTATAAAAAAGAGTTTCTACTAGCATGCACCACAGCAGAAAATCTAACCTCAGATGCAAGGCATTAGCTTTGTTTACTCTTTCAGCCCTCTTCCAGCCCAAAATATGCTGCTCCAATACAAAACTGCTGCCACTTGACTAACCCTAGATGGATGCCATCAGATACACTTAACCCAACTCAAACCTCTAGTTTTGGTGTCTAGTCCTAATTCTGTTCATTAAAAAACAGAAGGGAGATGGTTGCTCTGCATAGCCTGAATAGTCTTTGTCTTTTTGTGTATGGATACATGTGCCAAATTATCAGGAGCATGGAAAGTGATGCTCTGGTTAGAAAGACTTGGATGGCTGTGGGGAGGGCACAAAAATGCAAGTACAATACTTTTGGTTTCATTGTCTTGAAGGAAGTTTCTGCTTTGCATTTTGGAAGAAGTCAACATAAGGGACAAACAACTTTAAGACCTGTGTGTCTGAGTATTCTTACAGTACCTCAGTGGTCTGGGACACATTCCCTGGAAGAGTTTAAAAGCTTTGTTAATTAGTGGTGATTGCCCTTGAAGCTGACTGAGGAGTGAACTAAACCAAAAGCAGAGTGGACTTGCTGTGACGACAAAGACACTACTCACTGCATCAACCACATGATGGTTTTTAAAAAATAATTAAAGGTTCTTTGTTGCTCTCATCCTCTAATTAAAGATGTTGCGCTAATTTTTAAAAAGTGATTGCTACTTGAGTTTAGAGCTGTAAAATAGACAGCACAGATAAATGCCAGTTGACTGAAGCCCACTCCTACCTCATCACTTATCATTGTGAGTGTCCCAGTAGGGTTCTGTGGGAGCTCTTCTACTGCACTGCTGAACACAGCTTTGGCATTACAATCTAATGCAAAATGAAGTATCACAGTTCACTGGAGATCAAGCAACAAATATTTGAGAGAGAGAGGGTAAAAACATAGAACACATTTGAGCAGAAAAAAAAAAGGATATTAAGGATATTTAATAGCTTGAAATAGTACACAATAATTAGAGATTTGTAAATCAAATGCACTGGTCACCTAGATAGGCAGATTGCACATCAGCAGTCAGCATTGCTGGCATCTTACCACATTTTGTAATATTTTATGAAAGCTGTCTATATACTTCTTATAGTTAATCTTTATTTTTTTGTTTGTTTTTCTCCCTGCATGGTAAACCTCTTCATTACCCTTACTGCTTAGGAGAAAAACAGTAACATAGGTAAGGACAGAAATTCTTTATTGTTGGTTTCAGCAGAGCAAGGATTTTAATTGCACCCCTCTATTTTTTGGGCTTATGGTGAGTTTATTTATTTATTTATTTATGATTCATTCTTTTATATTTTTCTGTAGCGTTTCTGAGTGATAGTGGGTGATACAGGATCCCACCCACCCCTTACTCTTCCTTCTGAAACATCAGAATCCTCCTTAAAGCAGTACAGCTCTAAGTAGCTCCATGCTACTAAGGTCTCCATGCCCCAGCACACCTGTTTCTACAGGCAGAAAATTAGTGTTCCTTTGTTTGGCATGAGGGGAGCCTAAGGGGGCCCCTGGAGCCACAGCGCTGCTTGTGTAGCAATTCAGCAGCAGGAACAAAGACCTTCCTAATAGCACAAAGATCAGACTCTAGGGGTGAGCATCTCTGTCTTTATGAAATGTGTATTCCGGAGAAAATTCCTCTTTCCTAATCTTGATTTTGAACATCTCCCACACCTCCTGTATTTTCCACTGCATGTGTTTAAGACCTGCATTGTTACAAGGAAAAATGGCAGTACAAGAGAGGAAGGTATTTAAAGTGGATTTGCAGCCCTAAACAAAATTATTTTTTATTGTATTTTTTTTTTAATTATTTGCTTATTCATACATTCACTATTGTTAATTTCAGCCAGCAGAAGAAAACTGAGATGGGTTCTGGAGAAGGAAGGACTACCTCAGATGCCCCACAGCTGTTGACAGTCTACTGTATATATAAATATTTAATTTTTTTTTAAGATGCAAAATCCTAAATTTAAATTGCCAGTTGGTTTACAATAGTCTCAATAATTAAATTATTAGACTTTAGATGGCAGTCTGAAGAACTAATACCCTGTCCTGGAACAAGGCCTGAGGTAAGAGCTTAAACAAAAGGGGAAAAGCATGAAGAAAACCAGTATGTTGACAAGAAAGTTAGATTGGGTGAGGATGTTTGAAAAAAACTACATCAGACTTTTTTATTTAATTAACTAATAGCTAATTTAGAAACTGGAATGTAAATGCTTCCTCCTTTGAGCATTTGTTTTTTTTCCCAGCCACAGAGATTTTCCTCCAATATAAGCTTCATCATTTTCAGTGCATTGTCACTTAATGTTCCCTCACAAGATTTGTGTGGGTGACTTTCCAGCACAAACCAGCTCCAAAAAGACCTTCTAGCTTGAAAATAGTTTGTTCATGTAGTTGGACTAAACTCTTCCAATCAAGTCAATTGTTGTTTTCCTAATTAATGTCCAGACTCTTAAATACCTTCATTCCAGAGGTGACAAACTGACTCTTCCAAAAGTCATCACACAAAAGAATCACTCCAACAAATAAAACAGAAAGGTTTCGAGTTGAGTCTTATCTCCTCCTTTGTGCAGTAATACTCAAACCCCAAAAGATTTATCAACTAAAGACCATCTCAAAGTTGCAAGCAGACCTAAAAAGGATTAATAATAATAATAGCAGAAGTAGTAGTGGTAGTAAGAATTAAGACTTAAAGTATGTGTTGAGTCTCCATGTAGTGAACGCCATCAGATTAGTTGCAACCTCTCTGTTGTGTGACTCCTCCAGTTTCACGGGGCTGGTTTCAGCCTCACTGTTCCAAGTTTCTCTCAATAAGTGAAGTGATCTGTCACTGGGTTTTATTAGATTTTTGCTTTTATTTTTTAGAGCAGATGGCTGATTCTTTTTACCTGGAGAGCTGCCACTTTCTTTATAGATGCATTTGGGCTTTATGGTAGTTTAATTTATCTGTTTATTTGAGAAATAAGTAACCTAAATTGCAAATGTGTTACAATTTCACTGACCTCAGAAAAGCTGATAGATTTGATGCATAGATTTCCTGAATTTTGTTGAAAAAATAAAAACAACCCCACAAAGAGAAAATAATTTAATCCACTGGTAGCTGGACTGCTAGCCATGAAAAAGCAAGTCCAGGTCTTTATTAGTTCTGGCACCTCTGATCACAGAATCATAACATGGTTTGGGTTGGAAGGGACCTTAAAGCTCATCTAGTTCCTGTCCCCTTGCCACAGGCAGGGAACCTTCCACTAGACCAGGTTGCTCAGAGCACAATCCAACATGGCCTGGAATAGTTTCATGGCCAGTTCCTGGATATTCTGCTTTATCTTTCAGCCTGCAGACATACATCAGAAATAAACTTTCTCTGTATAACAACCTGTATTTATATCTAGGTTTCTTATTTGCCTTTCATCAGCTTCTATTCCTGAGCTGGAATTACTTCATGTTTGTACCACATTGTCCTTTTCCTGAAGCTACCTCTGTCTGCCTGAATGATTCTGCACTGGCTCACTGCAAAGTTGCCAAATACCCCTTGCTTGGACTGGTGACCCAGCCAGGGGTATTTTCTTGCTTGTCTACGGGTACAGTTTCAGGTTAGCAATAAGGCTTACAGAGAAGAACATGTGATTTGTAAAGCCACTTTCATAGCTAGCAGTGACAACAAATAAAGGTTCTCTTTGAGTACTTGAGCTCTGACCTGTAGCCCATGGATGGAGAGGTCTTGTGTTCGACCTTGTGAACCTCCTTCTCTGCTCGTACCCCACTGATGGGAATAAAGAAAATTCTGCCTCAGTCAAACATGCTTGC